GGAAGTAACAGATTTGTGTATCAGAAGGCCAGCAAACAGCCATTAAGAATTCAGGCACTCCGAAAAAGTTACAACTGCTCGCTGCTGCGGAGCTGGTGTGTTCATCTGTGGAGTCTGGAAAGAAATCAATAACCCAACTACACTTCTGCAAACCTGGAACATGAAGCTCATGCCCTAGATTCATCAGCAGCTGAATGAATTGCTGCTTCAGTACATGTAAATATTGTCCCTTCATATAAGTAACACAACTAATACATTAATCAGCTGTGGGTTGCAAAAGAAGGGGTTTTTCTAAGCACTAGGTTCCAGGTTTTTGTCTACAGCAACAGACAAAAACTGAACACGTGCTGGAACAGATTGAATGCATCAGCTTTCATTTTTTCCACTATTTTTGAAACAGCATCTGAAGCTATTTCTCAGTTTACTATATACTCACCATTACTAACTGTCACCTTCCACTACTGCGCTTTCTACTTTTAGAGACAGGTATAGTTTGGACTAAGGTAACTGGGGCGAGAAGTTCGCTATCAGATATGCTGTCATAAAAACAATTTATGCTGTGTCAAGCCAGTATGTTACCTAGTCCAGTACTCTTACTACAGCAACGGCCAAATAAGATACCCTGTTCCTATCTATCCTCTTACCGAAGTATGTTCTTGTAAGGTTTCATTACCTGCCCAGCTTTAGCTCAGGGCTTCCCACATTAAAGATGTTTTCCTGTCCATAATCTTACACAGCGTTTTCCTCCATGCTATTTCCTAGACTCTCCAGAAGCCACGCAAACTTGGTAACATCCTACAGCGAGATATTTCACGGCTTTAGCTGCATATACGTGCAAGACTACCGGCTTCTTTCTGCTGCTCCTCTTGTTCTTGCATGGGACAGGCATTAAGATGAAATTTTACTATAGGGAAGTGATCAGAAGCTGCAGCTGTATGATGGACCCTGGTACAGAAAGCGTGGGTGGGGCACCACCAGGAGACTAAGTGTACAGGAGTTGTCCAACATCTTCAGCAAAGAAGATCCCAGGTAGTGTCCAAACCGAACCAGTTAGATTAAGTTGCCCTGCAGCATTCAGGATCAAGTAAAGCTGAAGTATTTCCATCTATAACTTCTAACAAAGCCTGTATTTAATATACAGGTATTCAAGAACTCAGCAGTTTTAGTTGCCATTCAAGCAGAGGCTACAGGCTCTAATTTTGGTCAGACTAATAGAAGAGATGTCGCACTGAACTCAATACCTTGGAAGCTCCACGCAGAAGCTGCACAGCTATGAAACACTGATGTATGCATACTTGAACTATGGAATACTGTTTTTCCAAAACATTTTGTGAAGCAAAGCAAAAAAGCTACCTGAAGAAAAGAGGAACTGCAGACCAAGTAACAGCTTACCTTGCACATCAAAAAAATGAGCAGTATTTCGTATTCCAAAAGCAACATAAGCTAGAAGAAAAAAAGTGATAAGAACTATCAGATAAGGTCAAATAACTGAAGAATCCTAAAGACAAAAGCTAGGTTTCAGCAATCAATTTAACAGTTGTAATAAGCTTGACTTCCATGTGTATTTATCCAGTTCTAATCAGAATTGAAATTTAGTTCATTTCTGAGTCACTCAGCAGTTGAACAGAAAAATTCATCACGTGAACTGCGGAATGAGCGAGACTCCAGATACCACCTGGCTGTGCCTTACCAAGCAAGAACCCCACTCCTAGATCCAGGATGAGTCTTTCATGCCATAGAGTATTTCTCAGGTAGATGCCTAAAAGAGTTACATTTAACCATTAATTTTGGACCAATATTAAATGTGATCTACAACTACTGAAGAGTAATTTTTGCAGTTGCTCCCTAGAGCTACCAAGTTGCAACTGGGAAACCCCAAACTTCCTTTATGAAGATTTGGGACGCTAAATAAAGTATATAAGGAATGCAACTTGAACTGTTCTCATTAGACACAGCACCTACTGTAAACCTCCTCAGACTGTCAATTACATGTTGAAGGAAATTAAACCAGTAAAATAGCAAGTCTTTCTGACAACGTCCCTGTTTAGCACAGACTACTTTTACCTG